AAAATTTGGTGGGGGGGGGGGGGGGTGAACACACAACAAAGGAATGAATAACAAAAATTCTGGGACAGTCCAGTCTCTTACATATTTGTTCTCAGATCATGACTGCGTATGTTTAAGAACAGTAACAACAAACTAGTACCGCTAGTCTTCCTTCCCACTACAACCGCTAATACTTATGAAAAATATATCACATTAAAAATTATGTATTGTTTTCCTATGCTTTCCTCTGTACGATGCTTGTGTATGATTTATCTGTTCAACAAAAAAGACAATAAGCCCCACAAAAAAAAAAAGCTAGCGTTTTGTCATCTAAAAGTTTTCTTCTAACAGCCTAATCATGTCGGTAATAGTGGTAGTTGATGACGTCAGTCCCGGATGCAGCACAAAAAGAGGAAGGGATCTCCAACCGGAGCAGTTGTGGGATGTTCCGAGACTTTGGTTGTCGTTAGCTTTAGCTTCGAGAGGACACGCGTAGCCTCTCGTCGGTTCCTCCCGGGCGCTCGGCGGCAACAAGCTACTCATGGCGTGGACGTGCTTGACGCCTTGCCTCGTCACCTTCTTCGTCTTGGGAATCGCGTCGGCCCACGGTAAATCATTTCGCTAACCTGCACACGTGCGTGGGTCTAAAATGGGTCGTTGCGGTTGAGTTTCGGGGCAGGGCCGATTCTCGCCATGTTGACGTTTATCCCTGTCCCTGCGTGTAACTAATTATTGTCAATGAAATTCATTAGTAATCAATTGACGACACCGTACTTGGTTTGATTGACACCGTGTGTGCGTGAGTGAATCAGTGAGAATATTCAGCATTAGCACAGCCGTCGAACGCATTACTGAGCAACTTAACTTTCTCACCGCTATCCTGCTGCAATTATAAATGGCCACGGCTTGTCCTTTGTGCACAGTTTGGGCCTTTGTAGACAATGTATAAAAAATTCGCGCCATTTTAAACCCCTCGCACAATAATGGTAATTCGTCATGCTTTATTGTGGGACATTGAACCTAAACGCTGCTGAGTAAACAAATAACTTCCCCATTGGTGTTTTCAGTCTTACTCAAGACTTCAAATTCAAAGTGGGTGTGTAGGTAAAACCGGAAAAATAGAACAATTGCTACGTTTGTAGTAGGCCATTTTATTCCTGTTTTTTTTTTTAACGCAGTGATACTTGGATGCTTGTGGGTTTTCAATGCATTTATGGCAAGCCACTCCATACCAAGACCTTTCTCTGTATCATATTGAAAAGTTTACCATCCTCTTTTTTTCCATGTCATGTTTCACAGAAAGAAAAAAAAAATCAGCAGTGTGTGAATTGCGTTTTATGAATCAGCAGGGGTTGACTGTGTTACATCTGTGCATGTATTGATTAAAGCAGAAGTGAAACCACAATGTCGGCGTTTCAACAGCACAGTGAGATAAATGAAACGGTCGAGCTTTCCCATAAATTTCAGAATAAACCGTGAGTCAACATAAACAAGGGGGGGGGGTCTTCCCGGGGCTTCCCGGCGAAAAACGTCACCCTCTACTTTGACTTTCTTTTTCTGAGGTGTCTCGTTCCCACGGCCGACTGCCCCTCGGCCTGGTACCGCAAACGTTGTCCTCTTCCTGTTTCAGAAGCAGACGCCGCCTCGGCGTGTTTTGCAGCGTCTTCGCCGAACCGAAACGCACGCGTGACTGATCGCGTACAAGTCAAGCCACATCACTGCCATTTAAACCCACGGCAGTGGTTGGAAGCGGAAGTGAAATTGAGAGCAGCGGTTGAAGAGCTTTTTGGCACCCCTCACCTCGGTTTGCCTCGTCATGTTGTGACCTGAGTGCGTATCACTGATAACAAAAACAAGCGCCGAAGCCGTTTGCTCTTCTTGCGTTGTGAGCGGAACGAGGCAGTGTTTATCTGCTTACATTCCGCTTCGGAACCAGGGGCCACACCTGGCAACGTCGCATACACACAAAATGGGACCCGACAAAGACCCTTACGCAACTTCCTGCGCTTATCTGATTACACTGGAAGGGAGAAAATGCCCATCTGTTGTCGCCACTGCTTAAAAGACCGCAAGGCAAAGTGGTTACGAGGTTAACAACTAATTGAAGTAGATGAACTTTCAGATTAATTCATGAGTTTTTCACTTTATATTCGCCTAACCTATGACCAAAGCATTTCTGTATAATTAATCTGATATTAGTCATTGTAATAGTCCGACTCACTTATTGCTTGTGTTTGTTTAAAAAAGTACATCGGAAGATGTCCGTCCAAAAAATGATTGCATGTTAAATTGCAATCAAAATAATGAGGGTGGGGAAAAAAGAGGCAATTGTATGATTTTTTTCAAACTGGTTCAGCCTTATCAAAATGTCTCTTCAATGTCTTATTTGCTCAGTGGCGCCGCCAAGCGATGTGATTCTGCACTGCGGCAACCTGGTCAACAAGGTGGCCTGGCGCTACGACAACCCGCCCGCGGGACTGCGATACCGGGTGGACTTCGGCAAGGTGTTCAACTCCCAGGGGTTTGTGTTTTCCGTTCAAGTGGTAAATTGTGATTTGCTTTGTCCGGGTGACGACTGATCACCATCTTGTGCCGTGATCACGTACAGTGAATGGGAAAGCAAAACACCAAAGTGTTAAAATGGCGCACTGTCTTCCGGCAGTGACGTCGGTCCGCTGTGGGTGTACCCACCCGACCTCCAGGCGGACTTGTCCTTCCTGTCGGACCAGAGGGAGGACTACTTCCTGGCGGTCACCGCCGTCCTCGGGGAGGAGGAGTCGGAGGCGGCTCCCGCCGATGGCATCACCTTCAGCTACTACAGGGACTCCCCCGCCACTCAGAAATGTGAGAGCATGGAAGTTTGCTTGTTATGTTTCCATCTTTTCCAACCAGGCAGGTGCTACAGCCCAAATGATGTATTATTATTTTTGTTTTTTAATATTAAACACTCCTTGAGAGAAACGAATGGAAAAAAAAAAAAGAATAGCAGAAGATGACAATAATATCTGAGAGCAAAGAAGCAAAAACAGCACCTGGAGTGCAGTCAAGGTGGTCCGATAAGATCGGCGTTGGAGCATAGCTGTAGAATGGTCGCGCCGAGCGCAGTTGAGACAGAAACAAGGAAGTGCTTCCCGTTTCTCTTCAGGTTCTTTGGACCTCCCCCCTGCAACCGTGTCGGACCAGCAGGATAACTCGGTCCTGATCAGCTTCCAGCATCCGTGGCTCAAGTACTGGCATGGGAGGAAGAGGAGACATGAGAAGCTTGACAACCCTCTGCCCGTCTTCAAATACGACGTCATCCTCGACAAAGTAAGACTCGGTGGTCCTCATTCAATGTTCCTGATTTGATTATGACATAACATCAAAAAATCTCTTCTCTGCAATAAACTCGTGTTTTTTTTTTTGGGGGGGGGTGCATCATTTCGAGAATACAGTTGGCCTTGTTGACATTTCGTTTCCATTTGAAAGGCCACATTGCTTTATTTCACTGTGTTACAGCACCCCCTACTGTCTACCTGGCAGAGGTCTGGGCATGTGCTGTGTGCGTGGCAAAACTTGTATTGGAAACCTCATAAAAGTCGTGTTTATTAAGTACAAGTCAACAGGCCCATTTGCAAAAAATTTTTTTTTTTTTGGGGGGGGGGGGATCCTTGGAAATAAAATCTCCCCTGTAATTACTTGTTGCGTGTGTCTGGCGCCCCCCAGTGGCCACGTCTCCCTTCCAACCTGCTTTACTCCCCGCCCTCGCAGAAGCAGTTTGCCGACCTGCGCTGCACGGAGAAAACGTGCGAGCGCACGCTGCCCGTGGACGCCGGCCAGGAGAAACACTGCGCCGCCATCAGAGGCGAGCTGGAGAGTATCAGCGTTCACGGCACGCAGGACTACTGCGCGCTGCCCGTGCAGGGAAACAGTTGAGCGCATTCAATTGCAGCAGTTCACCTAAAATTGTTACGTCATTGCACTGTCAGATCAAATGGCCCTTTTTTTTCTTTTTTCTTTTTTTTTTTAATAATAATGCAGAACACGTCATCATCGCTGTGGTGGTGTCGCTGTTGGTCCTGGCTGTGGTCTCTACCGTCCTCCTCCTGGTCTGCCTGAAAAAGACCAAATCCTCATCCAATTTGCCGCCCTCACTGGTGCGCTTCATTCACGTCAAAGTCAATCGGACGCCTTTGCCTGACATCTAACCCTTTATTTTTTTTTTTTTTTTGTAACTTTTTTGTACGCGCCTCAAAGCGCTTCGAAAGAACCATCGAGGAGGCGAGGCCCGACACGTCCCTGCCGGTTTCTAACTCGTCCGCGCCGCTGATGGTGGTGGGGACGTCGCCCGTGTCAACTGACGATTCGGAACCACTCAGAGAGCCGGAACCGTCCGTAGGAGGCGACGCGGACGATGCGGGCGACACGGTGGAGGAAGTGCAGCAGGGGTACATGGGCGGCGAGCAAATGCAGGAAGACGAGGACACGGCCACCTCAGAGGAGAACGCGTACGAGAGACGCCAGGTCATCGTCAGCCTGTCGCCCGACGAGGACGTTGAGGGCTATCGTGGCTGAAGGTCTGACTTTTCTTCAAAGGGCGTGGCTTAGATCTTTGTACCTTAGCACAGCATGGGTTGTTAGTATAAAAAAGTCATCACTGCTTGAACCCCCCCGCCAAAAAAAAAAAAAAAAAAAGATGGCACTACTTATGGGGTGTAGGGTCTTAAGCCGTGACGCCACTAGCAAGCATTTTCAATGGCTGCGCTTTTGACAATCACTAACCTTCACTCTCATTTCAAACTGGTCTTACGTTATTGACACCTAAGCTACATTCCAAACACAAATACGGTTGTTTTTAGGTCCCACAAAAAGATTGTCAAGGCGGCGGGAGGGCACGCGGCGAATCGGCTTGTGTTCATTAGAAACGATTAGGTCGCCTCAGCAAACGTGACTTCCTGCGCCACGTCGTCAATACAAACATCACAGGAAGTCCCACAAGCTACTTCGTACTTGTCATAGATGAAATGAGCCCAGACCGACACGTGAGGGGACCTGCAAGGTGTTAATTCGCTTGTTCATGGCCATCAGTGTCTGAGCTGTCGAAAAAAAGTGCAAGGTGGGAATGCTCACCTGGTGGGTGGCAGGCAGCCAGTCGCGTTAAATGAGCCACGCGGAATTATAGCCGTGTAGTTTTGGGCTCATTTTGTTTCCTAATTTCCTCTGAAAAGAGCACTGCACTTTGAATGATGTGCGTCGAAAAAATATAAGAGTAATGCGAGCATTTTCGCTCACGGAGGCAGCACTTCATACCACTAGGCCGTTGCGCATGTGGCACCCGGACAAGCCGCCAAACACGGTCGCCGTCCCGACGGGGTCCCGTTGCCGTCGAGCGCCATTTAGCGGACGCTGACGCTAATCTGCTCGTGCAACCAAACTCCAACGCAGCTCTGCTTACCTTTTGGATTCGACATGACTGCGACGGCAGGGTGTTTCGGACGGCGTAGCTTGAAAGTGGCTCCTGAGCCTCACCGAGCCTCGTTGATCAAGTCGCGGGTGAAATCGGCTCTGTGAACCAGTTTACTATGATACTTGCTAACTCGAATGATTCATGTTTGCACCTCTGTTGTCTTTGAAGGGGTTAGATGTTGCACCTAACCGTAGTCAGACGCTCGTATTATTTATTACCCCCCCCCCCCGACTTGTGTCACACTAGATGCGTTTCGAGCCGCCATTGGCCCTCTACTTCCCTGTTCTGTCATTTAACGATGACATTTGCACGTAGACGATGAGCGTAGCTTTTTTTGAAAATCCTTTCCTCAATTCAATGTTTTTATTGCGGGCGACTGGGGGGGGGGCAAACTAGAGTGATTTGCTGTTTTATGACTCTTGTGTAATCGAGAGAGACAAACAGGGAGAGTGTGCCAAAGCTTCATGTGTTTTATTTGCGAGTGTTGCCCCCCCCCCCCCGGCCCCCTTATGGGGCGTTACTAAAAATAAAGTGCCCAAACGTGTTTTCATATCCTCAGTTTTCATCGCACACCGTGTTAAACGCTACCCATGCCTCACACACTCTCACCATTTGAGTTTGAATACTCAAGCCGACAACTTACGCAATCGCTTGACAGTCTCTGCGCCTTTGCTCTCGTGTACCATTTTTGCTTTTAAGAAAGGCCTTAAAACAAATAACCGCGTTGCTAGAAGCCTTAACATGTTGCGCGTGCGGCCAAAAGAAGTGTGAGCTTCTTATTTTGCAAGTCGTGTCAACGTCTCTCCAAGATCAGCCGCAGTCTTAAAACCGCCAAACTCATCTCCCACCCTTTTAAGTTTCATTTCTGTGTGTGAAGCAGATTCACGCAACGACGTGAGCGCCGAGAGTCAAATTGTCTCGCGCCGCCTTTAGAAAATTTAAAGCATCGTGTATATCAAAATAGGATTTTTTTTTTTTTAAACTCAAAAATGTAATGAAAGAGTTGTGAGGCGAATCTCGGCAAGTCCGTCCGCCGTGCAAATGGGGCCGGCACGTGTGTACCGCAGACCCGGCGGCTGAAGAAGTGTGACGAGGGCTGACATTTCAGGTCTTCTTCCCCCCGGAAGCAAACGCGGCACGTTGGCTGGGATGCCCGACGGTGAGCTTGCCTTCCTCTTTACGGGCGATGTCGCCTGCAGGGTGGAAGTGCGGCCGCACCGCGCTTCCAGTAACCCGCTTCGCCGGTCGCACGCCTCGTCTGCCATGCTGCATTTTTTAAAATTTTTATTTATTTATTTTCGCGAAGTCACGATTTCTCACGAATGGAGTCGGTGTCCAAAAAACCCACAATTCGGATCTGTAATATTCAAACATTTGTCGCATGTGTATTTGCAAAAATGGTGAAAGTTGAACATTTGGTGACTGTCATTTGTCGTCCAGATGTTTTCAAAACGTATTAAAAGGCTCAATGCCACAGTTACATTGACATTTTCATATTCCTTGAGATTGTTGTGTGATGTCGTTGACAAAAATAATTTATGTTTTTGTCTTCCATCCTATTTAAGGATCGAACCTTAACCCCTAAGCCTTATCCTAATCCTAACCCCCTATCCTCAAACCTCTCACTTTTTTTTTTTTTTTTGGTCACTGGAATGCTACTTCTTCTTGTTTACGTCCAAACTTCATGCACGCTTTGAGCACGACGCCTCCGGTCCACCGGTGAAAGGACACTTTTGATTTTTCTCTTCTTCCGTCGATAACTGCTCCAAACAAGGCGTTTGCAGGAATACGCCACGTTCCGATGGCGTGACTGTCCGTGTCTTATGTTATTTTATCGCATTTTGTTAGTTTATGTTAAGCGCTCTGTAAAGCGCTTTGTTTTTGCTTTGTGCTGTAAAATGTGACTGAATTATATGTCAAGAAAAGCCTACCGGAACAGCTGAAGTTATTAACACAGACAATCCTAAATAAAATCACTTCGGCAAGTGTGTGCTGACTCCCATTTTATGGCAGTCTTTGAATGTGATGCATTATTTCATCTTGATTCACTGCCACATCCCCAGTTATTATGGGGGGTGTACACTTATGCAACCACCCTATCTCAGGTGTCGATTTTGAAATCACCCTCGCTCAAAAGGTTTGTTTGATTTTCAGTTGAATTGTAGGACACATCGATGGTTGATAAAGTTTTTGTCTTGTTCCTTTTTTTTTTTTTTTTTTAAATAGCACAAAACCTGGCATTTGAACAGGGGTGTGTAGAGACTTTTTATGTCCACGCTATTTGCTTTGCACGTGCCGGCATGTTGAAAAAGTGCTTAGTCATTGTTCACATGGACTTCTGTAAAAGGATGTGGTCACTGGTCCAGAAGTTAAAAAAAAAAACAGGAAGTGGATGCATGTTAAAAGTCGGAGGCTGCACGGTCCACTGACACAGTCGGCAAAATGAATCGCGTCGTGATCGGAGGCCTGCTGTTGCTGCTCAAGCTGTCCGCCGGCATCACAGCACCAGGTGCCCCTTCAAGCTTCTTTTTACTTTGTCTCGTCATGGTGGAGTCTCATGTCATTTTGTGTGTGTGCGTGTCCACAGTGGCTCCTCCCGCACGCATCAAGTTTGACTCGGTGGACTTCAAGAATGTCCTTCGCTGGATGCCGCCCGCCAACAGCAGCAACGTGCACTACGACGTCCAGTGGAAGATGTGAAGAACACGCACATTCCACTCGCACAAAATCTGAATTTGATTGATTTTTTTTGTCTCGGTCTTTGCTGCAGTGCGTTATTGTTACCAAACATGGGCAAGTCCCGCAAGGCTCCTTTCTCGGGCCCTTGTTGAGTTGATGACCACAATCACATTTCCAATAGTTGATATTTACTTAATTGGGTTAATTTTTCTCTATTCATCTTATTTTTGCCAAATATGTGTTTTAAACAAAGTTTGAATTTTTTTTATCCAATTTGCATACAAATATTCTCAATTCCAAATACCGTCTTGTCGTGAAATGCAATGGAAAAGCTGTGTCAAAATGGTCTCAATTTGCGACGCATCCTCCTGAGAAGCGCGTGACGTCATAATAAGGACGTCGACTTGACTGTGTGCTTTCTTTGCGGCGCTCAGTTACGGCGATGCCAAGTGGCGGGATGCGGACGACTGCCAGGGTATCCGCCGGCTCCACTGCGACCTGAGCGGGGTCACCTCGGACCTCCGAGAGTGGTACTACGCCAGGCTGAGAGCGTGTTCCTCGTCCGCATCGTCATCGTGGATCCTCTCCCCGAGATTCAGCCCCCAATGGGACAGTGAGTGTTTACAATGAACAAAGGTGACATTGAGGCAACCTCGTGGAAACTTGGAGAGGACTTTTGTCTTTGGGGGGGGGGGGGGATTGTAGATGTCCTAAAATGGTCACCTCCAACCAAGAAGGCAGACTTCTTTTGCCGATGCAAGTGTGGCTCCTTGAGACTTTTTTTGCTGGTCTACTCATGTTGGATATGCCTTCCAAATGTTATGGTTGCTAAGCGAAACTGCTTTTGTGGGCTGAAGTTTCCAAGTAAGCGTGACCCAAAGTTCAGCAATTGGACAGAGAGGAGTTTGTCTGAAAGGAGCCTCGAGCCTAAAATGTCTGCATCAAACTAAAATGGCAGACTTTTTTTGTGTCTTTTTGGGCATGGGTTAGAGAAACTGCTGCTGGGAGCTGGATTTTCCAAACAAGCATTCAGTTCAAGCATTGCTGCGACACTTATTTTAAAATGGTCGCTTCAAACCAAAATGGTGGGCATTTCGGGCATGGCTTCATGAGACCTTTTTTTTTTTTTTTTTGGTGTCTTATCCACCAAATTTTCTCAGTGTAACCTAAGTGCATTTTTCTCTCTCTCCCTCTGCCACTCAGCTCAAATCAGCGCACCTCAGCTAAGGCTGAACGCCAGCGAGCAAGGCATCAAGGTGCGCGTGAGGACCCCCAAGGCCCTGGCCAAGAAGATGCTAAGCAGTCACCTTCGCGCCACTCTGGTCTACCACGTCTACGTCATTAACGAAGAGGGCAAGGAGGTACGTCTCAAGCGAAACCGCGTCCTTGTCACAAAATTTCCTTCCTCACTCTTCAGCCCAAACCTCTCGCAGTCAACGCAAGTTCTTCCCTCACCAAAGTCCCCCCACCACCGCCGTCATCATCGATCGCAGGTCACTTTTTGTCGTCCGATTGCGTCGTGGATTTTTCTGCCATATCACGGCATTTAGCGGCGATCCCGTTTTCTACGTTGACTGTTATTGCGTAATATGCTCAAATGGAGAAAGAGTAAGATGCAGTTCTGCTCCTGTCCTCTAGGAGGCGGTGCTTAGTCATTCAATCGCAGCCATTTTTCAAAATGAAAGCCCTGCAGTAGCAGCTTTTTCTAACCCCCACATATTTTTTGTTGTGTGCAACCTACCAAAGACCCTCTACTAAGGAGGAGGCGCGGGGGGGGGGGGTATTTTCCATTGTATAGCAATCCATGCATCCCTTTTCTGATCCGTTTCTCCTCACAAGGGGCGTGCCGGAGCCGTCCCAGCTGTCTTCGGGCAGCGGCTTGAATTGGTTGCCAGCCAATTGCAGGGCACACAGAGACCAACGACCATCTGCGCTCATACTTAGGGACCATTTCGAGTGTTCCATTAACCTGCCGTGCTCGTTTTGGGAGAAAAGCCAAGCAGGCGCGGGGAGAACACATGCAAACGCCACAAAGGAAGGCCGCAGCCGGAATCGAACCGTGCACCTCGGCACCGTGAGGCCACGGGGCCGCCCTCTGTAGTCATCGTTCAAGTTGCAGAAATATAAAACGTTGGCTCAATTAGCTCATGACTGTATGAAGAAATAAGGGCACCAAAATGCAATCAAAGACGCAAACCGTAAAAGTGTCTTTTAGTTACCGCCGAACAAACATCCATTGACGACATAGCTCCAATGCGGGTTTTTTTTTCCCCCTTTTGTTGTCCCCCCAGGAGGTGTTTGAGCTGCTTTGCTGCTCGGGGAAGTTTGTCGTGAGCAAAGTGAAGCACAAGACAAAATATTGCTTCCAGGCGCAGAGTGTCGCAAAACTGCAGGGACGCCGCAGCGCTCGCGGACCTGCCAAGTGCGTCACCGTCCGATGAGCACAGGAACGCTTCGACATGATGCGATGTCTTCCGCCACCGCCAAGAGGGTCGAGCTGGGCAGACGCTCCAAGCCCAGAGTTAAGATTGGTTTTGGTCGATTCGATGTCGACGCACTCCTCCACTGAAATCAAGCGCCGTTGGTTCAGAATGACGACGTCGTCCCAGAGACTCTTGTTTTGTCACATTAAAATGTCAAAGGGGCTCAAGGGTCAGCTTGTCATTCTTTCGACTGGCAACTTTGTCATAAAACAAGCGAATGCTTTCAAATTAGGCTCGGGCGCAACCTTTGCAAATGGGGATTTCAAATTTAGGGTTATGGTTTTAAATTAGACTGTCAAACTGGGGTCAGGGTTTTAGGTTCGAGTTAAACAAGAGTTAGCGGAGCCCTAACGGAAATGACCTTTGCTCTGTCGGATTTTAGCTGGTTGTTAGTCAAATCATTATAAGGTCACATTTTCAAACTTGATTTGCATGTGCGGTGCCATTGTCGCATTAACCCTAGTTTGGGTTACGGCTTGAAAGTACGGTTTAAAACTTGGGTTAGAGTTTTCAAAGTAGGCTTTTAAACTTTTTGAAACCCCAACTCCAGTTTTAAACCCTACCGTCAAACCCTCAGCCGAGTGTAAAATGCTACTTTCACACCCTAACCCGAGTTTGGGTTAGGGTCTGAAAGTAGGTTTCAAAACTTGGATTAGGGTTTGACAGTAGGGTTTTAATTAGGCTTAGGTAAGGCTTGAAAGTAGGGTTTTAAACTCTTTGAAACCCTAACCCTAGTTGTAAACCGTACTTTCAAGCCCTAACCCAAACTAGGGTTACGGTGTGAAAGATTAGAGGCTAATCCTAATTTAAAACACTACTTTCAAACCCTAACCCTACTTTTAAACCCTACTAACAAGACCTTGGATTCGGGTTTGAAAAGTAGGGTTTAAAACGTGGTCAGTCTCAGAATTGAACTGAATAACTGAAAAGGTGGGGCAGGTTATAGGCAATGAGACAAAGCCGAGAAACAGAAAACAATTGTTAATTTATTTCCAAAAACAAACAACAAAAAAGTGACAAAAGTGTAGGTGAGACAAATCACTCCAAAACGAAAAGAAGCTGAAGCAATCGAGTCCAATCGAGCCAAGTTTTCTCCCTTTTTTTGTCACGACGTCAGCGCGTTTTCACGCGTGGTGTTCGGCGAGCTCTCGGGCCTCCTTCACCAGCTCCAGGAGGCTGGACAACATGGACACGTCCGCAGGCTCCACACCCATCCGCTCCATCTGAGGGAAATGCAAAAATTCCGGGGAAACGTTTCATTTGGACGGTGCGGATTCGCTTCGACGAACGCTTCGCTCTTTAAATACTCAAGGTTGACCGTTTGTATTAATTTTGCAGCTCCGAATGTGTTGACCAGCAGCTGTTTGAATGTTCGCATTTAGCGCAACGTTGATGCTAACTTAGGTTAGCCCCGTCGTGGGCATTTCGCATCCTGTGTTAGCATGAAGCTAGCAGTTCGCCACCCACCTGTTCTGCCAAGTACTCCACATCCAGAGCCAGCTGAAGGCGGATCTTGGTGTCGTCCGACGGGCCGCCGTTGGTGGGGGCCGCGCTGCCGCCGGTGTTGGTGGCGGCGGCGGCGGCGGCTCCCTTCCTGGCTTGCTTCAGTCGTTTCAGACTCTCTTCCATCTTTCGCACCGAGCTCAGAACCTCAGAAATGGTCTCATAGTACCTAGCGCACACACGTTTGTCCATCAAGTCAAGGTTAATTAATGAAACCCTGATTTTATTTGGATTATTTCTTTAAAAAATATGAAGCAACATTTGCCCTTTGTAAGAGTTTGTTTTCATCATTCTTACGAGCGCAACATTACGCTATTTTGAGAAGATGACGCGCGCGCGCAAGCGCTCACCTCTGCGTGCATTCCGAAAGCGTGGCCGTCAGCCAATGGCGCGCCGTGGCCGCGTCCACCAGGCCCGACGAGTCGCTCAGCAGCTGATGCAACGGCCGCAAGGCGTTGTCCATGTACGCCGACGCTCTCACGGGCACCTCCTGGCCACACGAAAACAAGAAGCGGGCGCGCTCAACGGCACGCGTCGGGCCGGCACACGGTGGGGCGGCGGCTCCCGCGCCGCAGTTTCACCGACCTTATTGGTCCTGCGGTAAAGTCGGGGCACCTCGGAGGCGCTCTTCAGGAAGCGGCAGCTGCGCTCGCTCAGGTGTTGGGTCATGCGGGTGCTGAGGGCGCGGATGCTGCCGGACAGGCCCGCCTTGGAGTCCGCTAAGGCCTCTTTGGGGAAAACACAACAGAGGTTCCTTCAAATGGCTCGCCGTTGAAGACGACCGACCGAGAAATAAAAGGATACGCTGAATGATTGGCACTTGCCTTCCACAACGAGAAAGTTTGTGAAGCCGATGGCTTGTAATCTCTGTCTTACCATTTTGGACACTTGCGGGAACTAAAAGACATGAGGGAAAAGAATGTGAAAAGACACCAAAAAATGCGACTAGCACAACAGCAACGATAGAAAACTAGTCACGAAACCGCTGAAGGGAGCCTGAATTTGGACACGGCTCCGGTTTTGGGTCTTGTTGGACCACCCAGGTGTCCCTAATGAAGTGACCGGTGCTAACCCTCCTCCTCATCCTCGTCGTCGTCGCGCTTACCTGCTCCTGCAATTTTTGGACGTCGGCTGCGATGTGGACCAGCTGTTTGGTGGACAGCGAGGCGGGACTCCCGCTCTCGCTGCCCGTCTCCTCGACGGACGTCCTGCTGGAGGTGGACGACGCCGAGCTGGGGAGGGGCCTGCTGGGCTCTTTGCTCGCCTCGGGCGGAGTGGTCTTGCTCAGCGCCTACTTGCAAAGCCAAATCATCAACAAGTCTTGCGATGGCCATCGATGCCCCCCCCCCCTCCCCCAAAATAAAATCAAACGCCGACCTCGTTCAGGAAGGTGGCGTATCGCGAGTAGAGCTGCAGCGTGAGCTTCCAGAAGCGATGAGCCAGCGGCGGCAGGTAGACTTGGTCGGACCAGCAGCGCACCAGGCAAGACCACAACGACGCCGTCGCCTGCAGGTGGTACGCGCCGCCGGCTGGGGCGGATGCGCACGCAAAACGTGTCCGAGCGTTACTTGCCGATACGCAGAAAGAAAATCTCAGGATTTGGCGTCTTCTAAACGGGTTATTTTAAAAGTGCGTTTCAACACTTTTCAAAATTTAAAAATCAGAGCGAATTGAAATAGGGTAGACGCCTGATTTGTTTTTTTTTTTCAATTCTGTTGATCCCAACATGACGCACATCCCAACTGAGAGCAAAAAAAACCCCGGATGAAATGGAATCCAAGGCACACACCTGGCGCCGCCTGTAAGCCGTCACTGAAGGCGTTCTCCAGGCTTCCCGCTATCTCCTTGTACCTGGAAAAGCATCCGGGGAGCAACCTCAGCAAATGAAAATCTTGGGCCAATTCATTGTACTTCTATCTATTTATTTATTTTAAATTGGAGCTCAAAATTCCAATCGGATACATTTTCATAAACATGTAAGACATATTTTTCAGAAATGATGATAAATGTTCTAAAGCCATAAATGAAAAGACGATTCATTTATTTTATTGCTCTGCGGTCCTCATCTCCGGTTTTGCGGCGGCGTAAAACGCAGCCACAGCAAAAGCTTTGCGCCACGTGGTTACCTCAGCTGAAAGTAGACGGGCAGGTTCCATTTATTGTGGAAGGCCGCGTACGACGGGTGCGCTCGGAGTCGCTTCACGCTGGCCTGCGAGCTGCACTGGCGCTCGAACCGCCGCACGAACTCCGTGCTGGCGCAGTAACGCTAGAAACGAAGAACGGCGAGGTGAGGAAACCGGCGGCAAAACGGACACCGTTCGTCCCGTCCGCAGTACCTCGTAGAAAATGTCGGGGTTTCCGGGGTTGAAGAGGTAAGACAGACGCTCCTCGATGCCTTTCACCATCTCGGGCCACACCGAGTTGACCATGAAGTCGTAGCCGGGAACGATGTCGGCTTTGTCGCTGGGGAGAGAAGGAACGTCCGGTCATATCTAGTATTTGTCGAGTGTGAGATTTAACCCAATTATTGAGCAAATTAAAAAAATATTTTGCATGTATTTGTGGTGCGGATATTCATATATTTGTTTGTAAAGGGCTTTTAAAAATAACTCAATTTTTACACTATATTCTGATATTTTTGTCCACTTGGGGCCACCATCCTCAAGTTCCACAGCTGTAGCTCAGATTTTGAATGTGTACGGCTTTAAAAGGCGGGGCCCCGGCCTGGTGAGTGACGTGGGTGTCCCAGAGCAAAAGTGTCGACAGGACTGGTTGCTCTGCATGTTGAGTTGACTCAGCACGAGTTAGCGGCCATCGTGGACCAAATAAGATAACCTTTATTTGTTTATTCTTATTTATTTGATTATTTTATTTTATTATTATCCTGTGTCCGAGTTGCCGAAGATGTTTTTTTTTTCCCAGGGAGTACACATCCTTACTAACCTGGATATGGCTCCTCCGGTCACTTCTCTCAGGAGTCTGCAGTGATGAGGAACAAACTCCAGCAGCCTCGAATACATCACCTGAAGACCGTTGGGACTGGATTTGACCACGTCCTCCACAATCACCTGCCAGCAGAAGGCGGAAGGGATGACTTCTCACACACGCACACTTCGAGTGCAGCGGTACCTTGCCTTTCATATGGGCAAAGTTCCATGTGAGAGTACTGACCTGATCCATGAAGGGCTTGACCAGAACTTGTCCCACCAGCGCCTCGGCGTCTCGCGTCTTGTCGATGGTGGCGTAGGTCCTGAGGCAGTGGCGCACCATGTCCACACTGGACGTCCGCAGGCCCTCGATGAGCAGACCCTCCAGCGACTGCTGCAGCATGGAGGTGATGCCCGCGATGCGCTGCAGGGGCCCACACAAACGTCGGCGGAGGATCTCGGCGACAAGACCCGGGATGTTTTCAGAGGGGCTGGATCAACACTCACGGGTCTGACTTTGTCCAGCAGGGGCATGCCTTTGCTCTGCACGGCGTGGAACTGAAGCTGGTTGAACTCGGTGGCGATCCGCTCCAAGATCTGACCCGCTAACAAGGGACTGAACACGGACGGAAAGGTAAGACATACATACGAGGTCATCAATTCAGGACACAACCGAAGACAAACGCTACGCAAAAGATATGGAAAGGACGTGTGACACCTGTCGCTTTCCAATGAGTTGGACTCTTTGGGGTTTTGTGAGTTGAGGATTTTCTCAATCTTTTCCACCGAGCGCACCACCTGGATCAGCCTCAGGACGCAAACCTGGCGGACGAAACGGAATGCAATGGAAATCAAAAGACGTTGAAAATCACTTTCTTGAATGGTTGAACGCATCATCGCGTAACCTAAGAATGTAAAGTGCCAACCTTTTTTTTCTGCAGGTCTTCCTGTTTGGACAACTGCAGGTCTATGGCTTGTATCACTTCGCTGACGCACGACCGAAGGCTCTGCGCCGACGACATTCGTCAAGGCTCATTTAATTAGTGGTACTCCAACTACGTATTGAACTCACAACACATACCATGACTTCCTCCCGTAGCTGTCCCAGTGGCACAGAGAGCTGATTGAGGACTTTGTCCATCCCCACCTGGGACACGATAATCAAAAACTTGTTTGAGGCTGTGGTCGGTTCAGCAGCAATAATTCAATTCAATGTTAATGCTACAGCACAACACAGGAGTTCTCCGAGGATTTGACATATCCGCAGCGGGGCCGAAATCACCCAACGGTAAACAATACAAAGCAAAAATGTCGCAGTAAGTTCTCACCAGATTGGTGGAGAGGTTGACAAAGTCAGCATAGTCCTTGTTGATGAGCTCCACCATGGCTGTCTTGAGCAGCTTGTAGTAGAGCTCCAGGTCCTCTCTCATCTCCTCCAGCTGCACCTGCTTCCGACACTCGGCCACGAACTGGTCCACGTCAAAGTCATCCTGAGGACACATTAACAACAACCACAAAGCTTCTCGTGATGACGCAGTTTCTAGAGAAAGAGCGCATCATCACGTTTTGCATCGGCTATCGCTGTATATAGCCGCTGTCTATTCGCCGTTTAGCTCAAGCTAGCTAATCTACGGTCGACTAAGATAATAAAAGACGAACACTTACCTTCATAAAAACGTCCTTGTCGAAGCATAGAGAATCGGGACCCTTTGGTAAATTCATGATGAATTTTAAAAACCTGCAAGAACAGAAGCAAGAAAAACAAGACGCCTGCTAGTGTTTGCAGTTACTTCCGCCAACATGGCACAAGACCAACGAAGAAGAAACATTCATTTTGGACGACCAGAGCGCCTTGGAGAGGTCGACGGTAATAACTGCAACGTGGTACTGCAATGACACTAAACCGAGAACGGAAAATGCCTGGATTACAAAACATGATTTAGAGAAAAAACATAATGACAAAAAAAAATCTAAAAAACAAAACAAAGCTTTAATCTTTATGTTTCTCAACTGTCGCACAGTCTGGAACGGCCGTAAACCAGACGTATCCTCTTCTGCATGCTATAAATATACATGTGCCAAATGAATCGTAAATTTTGGACTACAGCCTCTTCTCTGTGTGACATTATACGAGGGAATAAATCTTACAGGGCTGTAACACTGTCGGGCAATGCAGCAAGAAAAGCCACTGCAGCTCCCAACGGGATACGGGGTTGTAAATGACACGTTCGAGGAACACCGGGTAGTCGGAGAAAAGTGTGCTTCATATTTTTATGAGAAGCAACAAACGTCAAATGTACAAGTAGGCCATTCATGACTTGGCTTCTTTGTGTTGTTGTTGTTCATCCTAAAAGAATTGCATGGTATCATCATTTTAACTCTTCATCCGTGTCACTATATATCACTGTACATAAATTGGCCAATTTCTTTCTGGCAGGCTGGTTGGGAAAAATTGATCAAAAATCGAGATTTCAAAAATGGGTGGCTGATATTACATTCTGTCTTTGGACAAACAATAAGTGTATGTTTCTGTGGTTTGTGCCTGGACTATTTTAAATTTCACGTGGGCTGGGCCGTGGGGGCAGAAAATGTAAATTGTATGCGTTGAGGTGGGGTCGTTTTCACATTTCCCGGATTATTTGACCGCACCATTAGTTTGTGCTCACCAGGGGGCGTAAACGTTCCAGAATCTTGAAGTCGGACCAGCCCCGGCTCCTCGAGGCAGGTGCTCCCGATCCATCCTCGAAGAGTGAAAGGTGGTGCCTTGCGCCTTCCTGCGAGATCGTGACGACTTCCGCGTAGGAGGGCGAGAGGGAGGAGGGAGCGAGTGGCTGATCCGAGTACCAGCGCCGACGCCGCCGCAGAGGGAGCGAGATGGCGGAGTGCGGCCGGAAGGCGCTGTCCCTCCTGGAAGCGGCCCGCTCCCGCTACGAGAGCCTGCAGATATCCGACGACGTCTTCGGCGAGTCGGGAGACGACAGCAGCGACAACCCGTTCTACAGCACCTCCGGAGACTCGGACTCGGACAACTACATAGCCGAGGCGGGCGATGAGGAACACCTCCACCACCACCACCACCACCATCAGCATCATCATGCGCACCATTTCCACCCCCATCGCCAGAGACGCGCCGACAGAGAGAGCTCACACGGCGGGGGAGCAGGGGGAGGCAGCCCCGGCCCGCCCGGCGCTCTGTCCCGGAGCCAAGCCGAGGAGGAGGGCTGGACGGAGAGCCTGCAGGATGTCACCGTGCCGCCGTTTAAAGGCTCTTACGGTGAGGAGGGATGAGGAAGGTCACTTGTCACTCGCACCGCTATCACGTTTTATGACGGCAACTGGAGCTCGTTTGACATTACGCGGGCGTGTGTGTGTGTGCGTGTGTGTTGGAAGGGTGGGGAAGATGACATTGCATCATTAATTTCTCCTTTGATGCTGTGATACTTATGTTGTTGCATGCCCGCTGTGTGGTCCCCCCCTTCTGGCATATGCAATCATACATTGCATGAAATAAAAATAAATAGAACATGGGGTGGTGTAGTGCAGCAGTGTAAAATAACGAGAGGCGATGCTAATATTTTGGCATCTGTTGTAGAACTTCACCACACTGATGATTTAATGCAGATCTGACATTTTTAATAAGGCGCATTCCATTTTGTCTTCATCCAATTTATCTTTTGTCATTGTACATTGCGGGAAGCACGGTGGGCCTCGTGGTTACTGTGTTTGCCTCATGGTGCTGACGTTCAGGTTTCAAATCTCCCAATCGCTAGTGGTTTTCCCCTGGGGACTCCGGCTTCCTCCCGTATAATAAAAACACGCATGCAGGTTCATTGAAGACTATAAAGTTACTCTATCTGTGAATTTGCTTGCCTCTATGTGCCCTGGGATTGGCCGGCGACTATTTTAGGATTAGCGCAAAAAATTGCACGATAACAAGGGTTCACTGGAACATTCAAAGTGTGCGATGGACTGGCAACCAGTCCTTAAGTCAGCTATGACGGGTTCCATCTCACCTGATCGGGACCCTAATGGGGACAAATCGCTCAAGACAAGGCGTGTACAGCTGGCTGGGTATTCAAAGTTTTCCAGGGCGCTTTGCATCCTGCTCCTGTTTGCCCGATGGAGAGGCAGCAGGTGCGTGTGCTGTTTGGCGCCGCCTCGCTTGTGTATTTGCACAACGAGGCGGAGGCGCCCATCCACCCGGATGCTTAGTTGGATGCAGCCAACACCGTAGTGCAAAAACCTCAAATGAACAAGGCGTGTGCTTATCGCTCTTCGGAGCAATCTTTTTTTTTTTTTTTTCTTTTCATGAATTTCTCCTGCAGCTGAAGTGAGCCCGGAGCAGGTCGGCATCCCCACCTCGTCTTTTTCATTGGCCGACTGGCATCGATGTGACAGCCCGCCGCCACAGGAGGTTTCGCGCCGTGTACATATATCATCAGATGCCGTCAAAAAGCCAGAAATCAAGTCGGCCTCTCTTTAAAAACTCCATGCGGCTCCCACTTGGCATGGAAGCAGCAGTTTGAAAGCATTCCCTGTTTTCTTGTGGTTTTTACAATTAGTCCAGCTCTAGTTTTTTTTTTTTTCCTTATCTGGATCTCGAGCATGTGCGAGGGTGGCAAAGGAGGTCCAAGATTAAAAAGGAGTGTAATCGCTTGATAGTGGTGATGTCGGGCATTTCAAACCCTGAGTATTCATTTGCTCTTAAGAGATTACGGCCGGCCTCCGTATGCCATCTTTTGACGGTCGTCTGTCGGTTATGCAATGTGTTGCGACGAGTAATGCCATAAAAAGAGGGCGTGTCGCACAAGCAGGAAAGCTCTTACTCAAGATTGTAAATTACTCGGGATGTGCAGATTATTATTATTATTTATATATATATTTTTTGCACCCGAGTCAAGTCACTTGATTTTGTTCAAGGTGATACCTAGCAAACGCATCAAGAAAGTTATAAAAATATGACTCTATCCACAGAATATTGGTGGGTAGGTCACAATATTAGGTACACCTGCCAAATGTAATATGACATCCCAAAATAGATGCGTTAGGGATGCTAAATAAAGATAGTGATTATTTATTTATTTTTTTGGGTGGAGTTTACATGTTCTCACCATGCTTGCAGAGCATTCCAGAAACGTGCATGTTAGGTTTCTTGAAGACCCTAAAGTGACCACTCGTCAGTGCTCGCTTTTCTCCACGTGCCCTGTGATGGACTGGCGACCAGTCCAGGGTGCGCCCCACATCTTGCCCAGATACGTGACGATCCGCCCAAAGTCAGCTGGGATCTGCTCCATCGCTGCCCATGACCATAACGTGTTCGACAAAACAATTGCGTTTCTGTCACAGCTTAATGCAACTTTGTGTGTAGTTCAGGGGGCCATAAAGCGAGTGGGAAATTAGCAAATCAACGTTCTGATCGCAGTACTTTGTTCCAGTAGAGCCAGAGCCGCAGAGTCTTGTCATTAAGTGCTCTGTCAGGGCTGTGCAAGGATAAATCCACAGAGAGGAAAATGCAATTAAAAAAATATATACGGTATATTTTTTTGCTCAGCCTCACGTAAAATAATGTCATTATCTTCCTCCGCTTCTACGGCTCTCGACTCGTTCAAGCCAGGAGGAAGAAAATGCGTTGGTGAGTCACATCCCGAGGAACAATTCTCTTTCGGCTGAATCCGACTCGCAGCCTTCAAGTGGAATGGACCGCAAATACAGAAGGATCGGAAGCCATCGCCCACGCCGCTCGGCTACTTCGTTCGTTGCACACTAGCGCTGCTTTCTTACACGTGATCTTCAAGTGGGCAGCCTCTTATTAGTTTTCCTAGCCGACGCCACCGAAGGCCAACTCGTGGAGTGTTGTTGTGCGCGCCACTCAGCGCATCGTAAATGCGTGGGCTCGTCACCGAGATGTTACGGTCCAAAGTTCTTTTCTTCAACGCGGTTTCACCTATTTGCAGATTAGTTTTTGGTGCTTATGCTCTATTATTTGCTGGCAAAGTCACACATCAGAGGAGCTCTCGGTCCTTCCCCAAGCGGGTCCAGCAAGGCCCCCGTCGCTGACATGTGCTTCTCCCCAACGTGTCGTTTGCAGGCCCCTCCCAGAAGATGCCGACAAGCGCCAGCGCCATGGACTTCTTCCAGCTCTTCGTCCCGGACAACTGCATCCAAAACATGGTGACGCAGACCAACATGTACGCCAAGAAGTTCCAGGAGCGCTTCGGCTCGGACGAGGGCTGGCGTCCCGTCACGGCCCAGGAGATGAAGGCCTTCCTGGGCTTCGTCACCTCCACCAGCGTGCACCACTGCGAGTCGGTGCTGAGCATCTGGAGCTCGGGCTTTTTCGGCAACCGCAGCATCACGCTCAAGATGAGCCAGGCGCGCTTCGAGAAGATCCTCAAGTACTTCCACATCGTGGCCTTCAGGCCCTCACAGGGAAGCAACCAGGGCCTGTACAAGATCCAGCCCTTCCTGGACTCGCTGCAGCAGGCGTTCAGCTGCACCTTCAAGCCTTCGCAGACCCAGGTGGGTGCGCACCAGTAGTTCACATCCGACTTTATTCAGCGTACGGACAGTCTCGCATTCACATCGAAGTCGACGATTTGGAGTCTTCGTCGAAACTAATACAAAGAAGCAGACAGATTCCGTCGCTTCAAAAATGAAATTGAAAATGGATTTACACGACACAAAAATCTTTTGGGCGCCATCTGCTGGATGTGGTGACCAAGGTTAGAGTGTAAATGAGCCTCAAGTCACACAATTTGGAACATTCCTGGATGAGAATGTCTCACAAAATTGCTATCAGAGACTCCGGCAGGTCTCGCGAGATTTTCGGTTAAATAATTATTCTTCAAAAATATATATTCACTATTTTCAAGCTTTTTTTTAGCCACCACACATGGGGAACCATTGTGGGCAAAGATTAAAAAAAAAAAAAAAAAAAAAAAGGATGATGAAGAATCGCAGTTCAGAAGCAAACGAAAGTTGTCTTCTTCGGAGCAAAGCAGTTATGTTTAAAGAACGTTTATGTCTCGCTCTTCGTATTTCTACACAGTAGCTGAGAAAATTAAATTGCCCTTTGCACTTCATTTTAAGAGATAACGTAAAGAAACGTGCTCTTGATTGAGGTCGGCCCAAGTGAGTCCCCGCAAGCAAGGAACGTTCAATCTGAACACAGTCTGCACATCGTGCTCTGATAGGAAAGTGTGTGTGTGTGTGTGTGTGTGTGTGTGTGTGTGTGTGTGTGTGTGTGTGTGTGTGTGTGTGAGATGAGAAGAATCGCGTATCTAGGCCATCCTATTTTATCTGTAAGACGTCCATGGCAACGGGTGTCAGAGCTGTCCAAAAATCTCTCTCCGTTTCCCTCAATTTGACCCAGAAAGCTCAAGTTTGAAGTTTCACTTTATTAAGTTGATGATTACATTTTGCTCGGATTTGATTGATGCTGTCAGAGACACGGGTATTGATTTCAGAATACGTCGATGATCGATGGCTCCAGATTGCAGCACTCCGCTGCACCATACTGAGAGCTGTTGCTAAAATCCCGTTGGATCTAATTCCTTTACGAAGCTGTACCTAATCTAGTGACTGGCGAATGTCATTTTGCGCTGTCTCACTCGGTACTGCTTAGCGGAGTAATTGGCAGGGAAAGTCTTAATGGAGGTGGAGAAGGCAACTTAACAGCCACAGGAAGGATGAAGCGCATGCAAGGTGATGGTGCGATATTGTCAACGTAGTCTTTTTTTCTTTTGCTAAAGCGTTAGCGTGCTGATTATTAGCGGCGTCTAATCCGAGCGAACAGTGTTCAGCAAACCAGCTCGGACACTTTTGTCGTGGACAAAAGAGGCGGTCGACCTGAGCGGTTGCCATGGTAACCGTCTCGGCAGCCCACCACCGTCAGGACAAACATGCAGGACAGGGGGGAATTACATAACGCTCCATGTTTAGACTTTAAAATCCGTCTTTTGGATGCAGCAGTACAAGTGAGGAGATGAGCGGAAGTCGTTCCATCCGATGCACTTTTCGGAACACTTCTGACTTTGGAGGACAAAAGACAAATGGGCAAAGGCTCTCCGAGGCAATGCTTGGACAGCCAATTATAGAACAACATTTGGAAATGGAGGGATCGTCCAAATGAATAATGACAGTTCTGTTTTTTTTTCTTTTTTTCTTTTAAATGTCACAAAAACACGGCGCTTGATCAGGGGCGGCGCGTATATTTTTGATATCCACTGGACATATTTGGTTGTTTGAATAATTGAAGTGGGATTTTGTTTTTACAGGTTCTCCACGAACCCTTAATAGACGAGGACCCGGTTTTCATCAGCACCTGCACAGAACGCGAGCAGCGCAAGAGGAAGAAGAGGAAGTTCAGTCTTTGGGTTCGACAGTGCACCTCCACCGGATTCATCTGTCAGGTAGGTGCAGATGTGTGCCCGCTACGGATTAAAAAGCAACGTGCAGGTTTATTTGAAAATAATAAAAAAAATTAAGACATAAACTCCAGCCCACTGATTCTTGAGAAACATCAGCGTGAAGCACGTGTCAAACTCAAGGCCCGGGGGGCAAATCTGGAACTTAAAATACAACTGCACTGTACTTAAAAAGCAGGATTAAAGAGGATGAGAAAATCTTCAGCAAAAACTCAGCCGAGCTGATGGTACAGTACGTCCTGTTTTCATTATTTGGCTTTCAAATTTAGTGTCAAGCTAAATAGTGTGCCGCCCTCTAGTGGTCGAGAGTGGAACCAAACACAAGGCAGAGCAAAATAGTTGCAACTGCACAAAAATAAATAAGTAAATAAATCCACAAAATATACCTGGACTGCGAACCGAGAACATGCGATGACGTCATTCGGCAAACATTAAAATTCAAACTCATTATTACCAGTCGGCTGATGTGTCTGCTTTGACTTGTGCCGATGACGAGACAGAGGGAAGTAAGATGAGTTAATGGAGCCAATCGATCAGATTCCATTATCCACCACACACACACACACACACGCACACGCACACGCACACGCACACGCACACGCACACGCACACACACACACCAGCCACTTAGCAAGATAGCCACAGGCAGACTACAGGTTGGCTCGTCAGCCTAATGCAGTGTGTTTCCTCAAGAAAAGCCAAGAAGATGGACGCCTCTTCCTTTGTGTGCGCACAGATCTCGGTTCATCTGAAAGAAGGCCAAGGTGCGGACGGCCTGGCTGCCCTGAAGAACAAGCCTCAGCTGCACAGTCTGGTGGCCAAGCAGCTGTGCCAGAATATCTCTGGCAAGAACACCATCGTCTTCACGGGGCCGTCCATCACGAGTCTTGGCCTCTTCACCGAGTTCAGCAAGCAAGGTGCGTCACTCGGCGCTCTAATGGCGTTCTGCGACTGCACTACGGCATTCTAATGTAGCCGATCGAATGTGATACACGGAAACGGTGTAGGATAGAAATCTAGTTTCATTCAGATATCAAAGAAAGGAACCAACAAAAGCTCCAATAAATCAGACTTTAAAAGAAGCATCCAATTTATACAGTACATCATAAATATCCATTTTCCGATCTGCTTTATCCTCACACGGGTCGCAGGGGGTGCCAGAGCCTATCCCAGCCGTCTTCGGGCAGTAGCGGGGGACACCCTAAACCAGCTCACACTCACACCGAGGGACAATTTGGAGTGTTCAACCGGCCTGCCATGCATGTTTTTGGAATGTGGGAGGAAAGCGGAGTACCCAGAGAAAACCCACGCAGGCCCGGGGAGAACATGCAAACTCCACACATAATCCCAGTTTCCTCAAAATGGCCAGAAACGGAAGAGTCAAGTAGAAAACAGGATCGATGACGGGAAGAAATTCCGGGTCAGTGTGCCGCTCAGATAAGATTAAAATCAAATGATTCGGCACAAAGGAAAAACATCCTTCAGTGAGCTCCGTGGCCATTTTTGCTTCGCACACAAAAAAACTCAATTTGGCTGAGCTGCGGTCTCGAGACAAATCAAAGTCGGAAGATTTTGTCATCGTAAAGAGAGCCGACAAAAGCTCAACATCAGGGCTCGTTTGCCAGTTCTCGATCAGGCTGGATGAATGAGGCCAACACACAGAAATGAAGGGAGGGGAAGCAAAGCAGAACGACGGCGATAAGAACGCGAACCGGCGCACTTTTCCGGCTGCGTCAGTGCTCTTGTGTCCCTGTGCAGACATTTATTGCTGCGGTCTGCTGAGCACCAGGAAGAGCGACTGTACGGGCCTGCCTCAGAGCATGCTGGTGTGCAGCTCCACGCCGGCGCAGCGCGGCCAGTGGCGGGTGATGATGCAAGGCAGCATGTCGCTCATCAGCTGGTACAACAAGGGACACTTCAGGTTCCTCACCAACGCCTACTCGCCCACTAAACAAGGTAGGCTTCTTCTCCACTTGGGAATGACAGCGGTTTCCGTGACTTACGGAACTCCTTTGATTTGTTCAAACCCCAATTGCGGTGATTTGGGGAAATTTGGGAAACCCTTGTCAGTTAACAAATTTTGTCTATGGACGTGACTTGACCCCCTAAGTCCTCAGAGATGGATTGAGGCCAAGTGGAAAAGGGTGCTGTGGTCTGACGAGTCCGCATCATGAGCATCGTGTCCTCTGGGCCAAAGAGGAAACAGACCATCCAGAGTTTTGTGAACATCGAGGTCAAAAGTCAGCATCTGTGATGGTATGAGGGTGCGTTTGAGCCCGTGGCAAGGGTCATTTGCACATCTGTGAAGGCACCATTCATGCTGAAAGGCAGATGAGATGAAGGTTTTGGGGCAACAATGTTTTTCAGGGACATCCCTCCTTGTTTTAGCGAGGCGATACCAAGCCACATTCTGAATGTGTTACAATAACACTGCTTCGGAGTGAAAGAGTACTCGACTTGCCTGCCAGCAGTCCAGACCCGTCGACCATTGAAAATGTGCGGCGATTTGTGAAGCGTAAAATGCAACGAGGGAGACTCTAAATTATTGTACTGCGTTTTTATTTGCTGTACACACCGTCCCAATTTGATCGGAATTAGGATTTCTACAGTGTATCGATTTTCTCCATTGCCAGGGCCACCACTCGTCACTAAAAACGTGACTTTGTTGCATGCGTATTTGTGTCAGGTTTGATCATCAAGAGAAAAAGCGGCGAGGTTCCGTGTCCCTTGGCGGTGGAGGCCTTCGCCGCGCATCTCAGCTACATCTGCAAATACGACGACAAGTTCAGCAAGTATGCGAGCCCGGTTGCAAAATACGTTCTTTGCGCGTTGATAATATTCCTTCGGAGCATCGTGGCTCACGTCGATTAACTTTGGGCTGCGTGTGTCCGTGCGTGCCGCCAGATACTTCATCTTCCACAAGCCCAACAAAACGTGGCAGCAGGTCTTCTGGCTGAGCATCAGCATCGCCATCAACAACGCCTACGTCCTCTACAAGATGTCCGACGCTTACGCCGCCAAGCGCTACAGCCGAGCGCAGTTCGGAGAGAGACTGGTAAAGGAGCTGCTGGACGTGGACGACGACTCGCCCACGCCGTGAGGAGATCGGGGGGTGGGGGGGACATTGGGTGGGCCGAAACACACTCCCCATTCGCCGACACCCACAATCGCATTTACATTGCCACACTTCCTCCCGCCTGTACACTGTGTGTGTGGGGGGGGGTCGCGGGATGGGGTGGAGGGGCGGACACCAGTAAGGTTTGTCTGAACATGAGATCAAGGGCGTGTTCAGGCCCCCGGTACAAGCTTCGGAGATGAACGCAGAGTAGTTTCCCATTTTTGATCATTAAATGCGGAAGACACTAAAAATCATCGTTTTTCATTTTTATTCAAACCATTCGAACTTCAAAAGATTCACAAAAATCAGGACATTTCGGGAACCTTTTTTTTTTCCCACAATTCCACATTTTCCAACCTCAAAAAAACAACAACATTCTTACCTTTTGGCTTGGGGAGATGTTGTTGCTTCTGTGTGGCCATTGCTTGAAGGTGGCTGTGGATCTTCACCCAGTTTAGAAGATCTTGTCATGAGCTGGAGAAAGGGCAGAACCGGGTTACTTACAGACACCAATTTGAGAAATGGGCAGGTAACAACATATATTCCTTGTTTAATTTCACACACTGTAGGTGGGCAGACAGCGTTACATTTAAAAATGACGTTTTCCATAACACGTCCCCGTTTAAATATGTGTTGTTAAAATGGTTCCAGGAAAGGTTGTAACTAATTTTTTGCACTCACGCTTCGAAAAAACAACGACAACAATGTTATCGTTGACAATGAAAGATTGTGTACATATAGATGTAAGAAATTCAGCCAATCAATTAGTCACAGTACTTTACGTGTGTTTCTATTTTGTTTACGCAAACTCAAGAATGTCATTTTTATTTTTGAATCACTATTGCAAGGCAACGTTGTCGTCACTTGTGTGTGCGTGTGTGTGTGTGTGTGTGTGTGTGTGTGTGTGTGTGTGAGACAACTATGAAAATGTCCCGTACTCACTTTCAGTAATCTTCACGTCAATGTTAAGACACCGGCCACATACACAAAAGTTCAGATTCAACCAACAGTGTGTAACAATATGTCTGTTGACTAACACGCTGTTGCGGTTTCACTGGGCTGAAATCTCCACGGTCACACCCGGAATCGGCAACACATTAATATCAACGAGCTTGTGTTAGCATTAGCACTAACATAAATCTTTGCGACCTGATACTTAGCGTATTTTGTCTCTGTCTGTTTACCGTGTGTATGTTTACCATTCGCTGTGGCTCAACAGAAACAAACATTTTGTTGAGGCCAAGAGCTAAAGTTAAACTTCTCTCTTTTTTTTGAGGGGGGGGGGATGTAATAACCTATCAAAAACCTAAGACATTCAAAACAAATACATTCTAAATATTATATACGTGTGAATGTGGGGAGAAATGTCTCGAGAGTCCAATTTGCCGACATCATCAAGGGCCAGTTTACTGGTCCTGTGAGAATAAATGTCATCTGGTTGAAGAAGCATGACATTATTGAGTTGAAAGCTGCCAGCACAGTACGACTGATTCAAGTGACGCCGCCAAGAGAAACCCGATCAAATGAATAGGAATAGACTTGTGGGAATAAAATGACACAATTTCATGGAACAAAAGTTTCAATTTAGGTTGTAAATGGAGGTCAGTGCTTCCGACTGCTCTTTATGAGAACCCATAGCATCCTATTTTTAAAATCATCTACTGCGTTTGAGTTCCGAACGGTCCATCTAGCGGCTGAAAAAAAAACAGACTCATTCCTTTCCCACATATCTTTCCCATAGCGCCTCTTCTTTTTGATTTGCGCCCCATTCAAACTCAATGAACGCGTGGAACGAAATGTGCTTGGCACCCGCAGTTTAATATCCTTAAAGAGCCACAAAATGATGACGAAATAACTCGCCCTAGTCGTGCGGCATGAGATGCTGTCCACGTGATGTGAAAATGTGTGTGCGTTTATCTGTGCAGTGCTTTATCTAACGGGTCCGCCGAGTCAGTGGAGATGTGTAATAATCAGATCCGACGATGAAATAAGAGTGAGCTCAGGGCGCCGTGGCTAACTAACCGCACTCTACATGTGACATTATTAAGAGGAGACTAACAGACATACACTTGATGGACTTATTTAATATCTCCTAACCGGGTGCTATCAGTATCAAGTAGACTTCAATGTTATGACATCTTAGCAGCCACGTAATAGAGGTGAAAAAAAGTAACCTGGTTAAAGACGGTTCAAAGGGGAATAGAAAAATAGTTTTTCCCTCATGCAACTGATGAGCCCCACTGACATGAGTGTGTCCGTGTGTGAGTGTGTGTGCGCGCGCGCATGTATTGTTGACACTGGTTTGAAATGTGTACAATAACTGGACCAAATAAATTTCAGAAATGTGTGTGGTGATGAGTTGTACGAGGCTCTTGTGTCACCGTCTTTTTTTAAAAAAGTATTATTTACATTTCAACAAGCTCAAATTGCAGTTGGTGAAAATCTGAAATCTATCGATCATCGAAAAAACATTTTGAAGGAGTTTTACCCTGCCTCCTGATTGATTTAATTAGAATTAAACATAGAATTAAAAACCTAAGTGTACAACTAAATCATGTAATTTAATCTAGTTAAAGTCCGCTAGCTTAATGCAAACACCCAACGGCTAGCAGAAATTAGTTTAGACGTGAGAGGAAATAGAAACCTCCAAACAACTGCTACCTTAACACGGAGCAACACATTCAAACAAACTGTACAGCAAAGGAGAATTTGAACAATTATACTGTATTAACACCAAAAAATTCAAACAAATCATAAAAGCGAGTAGCTAAAGTCCACTAGCTCGATGCTAACATATAAAGTGAACACATGAACATTAAGTCTTCGGCATTCGGAAATTCATTTATTGAAAGCTTTTCATTTTTTTTATTTCATTTATACACTGGTGGAAGACAATGAATGAACCGTTCAAGTTCAATTTGTAGTTATACAAAACTCAATGACGTTTTCCAGCCCATTGTAATATATTTAAGAGCCGTACATTTTACAAATGAGATCAAATGTAATGCACAACATGACCAGCAGATGACAGCAGATCACAGTCCGTATTATTAGGTCCTCTCGCAATAGCTGCTCAACACAACATGGCTACAGGGGCGGGAAGTCACAAATGAAATGTTGATCGTGCCTTCAAATGCTGAGTCATTTTATTTGACTTTTATTCGTTTTCATCATACAGCGGTCAACTTGTGTGAACACTAAAATATCCCTTCGAGCATTGCAGTTAAAAAAAGCTTTTACGAAAGCCACCGTTGGACCGGAATGCATGCGTGAATCATTAAACTTGATGTCCTAGCTTAGCTAAAATATGAAAACTGAGCTTAATGTCGTTTAGCTTTGTATGCGCAATATTAATACTCCTGAATGTGAGCACACTGGCCCAGTGGCCTAACCCCCTTCCTGTGTGGAGTTTGCACCTCCACAAAAACAAGAATGCTAGGCCCGTTGAAGACTCAAAGTTGTCCGTAGGTGTAAATAGTTCGAGGACAGATGGGCAAACTGTGCCGAATGTTACAATGGCTTCCAATATTATTAAATATACTTTTTAATGAATAAAACATTGTTTTGTACCAACACCCGGGCACACTATATGACTGTACTTTAATGCTGTTGAATTATGGCCGTTTGGGCGTAAATAGTTCAAGTGTCCCAATACTTCCCTTTGTATAGTGTACATTAAAAATCAACGGGGAAAGACATTAGTCATAACAGGTTTCCTCTTTAAGAGATTAATCCTGCCAAATCACCTTTAATGGCTGACGGCAACAAAATTGGGCGTTGCTTTTTTTCCCCCCCTTCTTTCCTTTTTGTTCTTTTTCAAACGATATCATAAAAGATTAGTCATCGAGCTGAATGAAAAGCGCGCCGGTGTTTTCATGAGACTTTCCCAACTTTACAACCGACGTCTCCACGATGTCTGGGGCCCTCCACCCAATGCGACGGACAAGTACACGAGGTTAGCACAAGGTTAGCCGGCTGAATATTGCAGCGCCGACTCCATTTTTGTTGCGTCACAAACAATCTGAAAGCCTTACACGGTATCGAAAAAGAATACAGCGAGGATCACGACCGAGACGCGTATTGTTGTCGCTCGTGTTTAAAATGACACATCGCGAGTTACGTAACAGGACAGTCATTTTGCTAAGTGGGATGGCAAATTATATCTTGCTCAATTGTGTGCAAAGGCCTTCATTAACTTTTTGTAACACGCAAGGATTTTTTTAAAATGTTACATTAAATGTCCATGCTAACACAAGAAAAGGAGGACGAGTGTCTGAATGTTTTTATATGTAAGAGTAACAATATCGTTCATGCGCTACTGTGTATTACAGAAATATACGAAGAGTAACATCCAATTGTGTTTTTATTTTTAACGCTCTCGTGGCATCAAAGAACACACGTATGCAGTTTTTGAAAAGTTCTTTCCACTCAAATGCATAACTATCCAAGTCAACCGTAATCATACATATTTATCTTAACATTAGTTGTGCAGTTCACGTTTCATATTTTCCAAGGAATTTCTTGTCTTTTTTTCTTTTACATTTCCAAATATGTACAAATGGATGCTCATGATCATTAAAAAAATAAAAAATAAATTACAGCCTACGTTTTGGAGCGCGAGAAAGGCCATTTCTGAAGCATTCCTCTTGAAAAAAAATATACTTATCCAAATGACTAGAACACATTAAAAATACAAACAAGACAATTTATTTTTCTTCAATTTGTGTTTTTCACAGCACGCTTGTAAGATCTTGACCGGCAAATACGAAGTCAGATCTGGTTTCTCCTTTTTGTCCCCGTGTTGTCCAAGAAAAGCCGCCAATTGTTGATGGCGTTCAATGATTAACCCCAATCAACGTCTCCGTGTTTACCCTCCCTCTTGCGACACGGGCGCACGTGGCCGCCGCGCGATTGTTTTTAAAATGTCGGACGCCCTTTTTGACATGAAATATGATTCACGATAAGATTTTTATTTATTTTTTTTAACTTCCGAGATAAGGCTCGCTCGGACCTTTGACACCGACAAGGATGCTCGTTAGACTCCTCGTCGCTTGTTGGACTGCACGTTTTGAGGCAGGCGCTTGTGTGTGTGT